TATTATGAACTTCAAAGTCCCGATTGCATCGAAATTCTAGGCGTGACGAATGGCGGCTCCACCGATGAAAGCAATCAAGGAGTAATTGCTTTGAAACAAACCTTGGAGTCACATGTTGACCAAATAGTCACTGCGGTTCTCAAACCACGCCGTATTGACAACTTTACAGTGGGTGAACGAGTGTTTAACGTCAATGTTTTGAACATGTTTAATCCTTCGAACATCTTGACCTTGAATGTAAAGGCCACTCTTACATTGTTTGAGCTAAAATTCGATCGCCTCATTAAAGGAGAACTCGTTTTGCCCGTTCTTTATCATCCTTATCCTCCGTCGGATCTTCCATGTGATGCCTGGTTCACGATTGTCAACGTCAGTGACCAAGACGTACGATTTGAGATCGGCGTGGAACTTGCTCCAGACGTACAGAATTTTGTTAAGGTCGAAGTTCTTTCCAGGTTTTCAAATTCACCTTTAGTAGGTGGAGTCTCTATAAGCGGCCACGGATTTATAGAGGTTAGAGTGCGAGCTTATCCCATCGTAAATATTCGCATTCCTCGTGAATCATCTTATTTGACCAACAATGATGGGGTGACTTTTGGTAAACTTCTGGTTGCTACAAAACAAATTAATGAAGATGATAGTGTTCAAAGGGATGCAAAAAACATACCCATACGCGGTTTCATCGTGGAGTCACCGACCTTTTCCATATCACCAAAGAATATTTTATTCAAAACGGCCTGGTCTGCTCCAGAAATCGACGGTGAAAAGTGTGATATTGATGATAAAGAATCACCAAATCACGCTGGTGGTAAACTCGCATCAAAACCTGAAGCAAATTTGCAGGCGACCAAGGATTTAAAAGATTGGCCCGCTCAAAGAGATACGATCGTGATAGTCAACCATTCTGACCAACTTCCTCTATTATTTAAAGTTCAAATCGAAGGACCGATGGAACTTTCAGCAAAGGATATCATCAATATCTCACCCTTGGATGAAAATGGATGCGGAACTGTAGATGCTAATCAAAAATGTCAATTAGAAATTAGTCTCGTTGATTTAACTGCAGTGGTGTCCGAAGACATTAAAATTCACATATTCGATTTACAATCGTTATTAAATCAAAAGAAAACCGTCTTTGTCAGCATAGAATCCGATACAAGAGAACATCACGTTAAATCGAAAAATCTACATG